ATAAAATGTAATATCCACAACAAATGTGTACAAATGGATAGAAAAAAAACTGGGGGTAGAATGTAGGCGCACTACGAAAGATAGGAAGTTGGGGAGGACCATGATCCTCATGTTATGACCGTTGAAAAAAAGGACTAACTACTAATTGTAAAAAGACCTTTAAAAAGAAAGGACTAACTACTAATTGTAAAAGACCGTTGAAAGAAAGGACTAACTACTAATTGTAAAAAGACCGTTGAAAGAAAGGACTAACTACTAATTGTAAAAGACCGTGGAAAAAAAGACCTTTACTAATTGAAAAAAGACCGTTGAAAAAAGGACTAACTACTAATTGTAAAAAGACCGTTAAAAGAAAGGACTAACTACTAATTGTAAAAAGACCGTTGAAAAAAAGGACTAACTACTAATTGTAAAAGACCGTTGAAAAAAGGACTAACTACTAATTGTAAAAAGACCGTTGAAAAAAGGACTAACTACTAATTGTAAAAAGACCGTTGAAAAAAGGACTAACTACTAATTGTAAAAAGACCGTTACTAAAAAAGAAAGGACTAACTACTAATTGTAAAAAGGCCGTTGAAAGAAAGGACTAATAAAAAAGAAAGGACTAACTACTAATTGTAAAAAGACCGTTGAAAAAAAGGACTAACTACTAATTGTAAAAAAAACCGTTGAAAAAAGGACTAACTACTAATTGTAAAAGACTAATTGTAAAAAGACCGTTGAAAAAAGAAAGGAAAAGAACTACTAATTGTAAAAAAAGACCGTTAAAAGAAAGGACTAACTACTAATTGTAAAAAGACCGTTGAAAGAAAGGACTAACTACTAATTGTAAAAAGACCGTCGAAAGAAAGGACTAACTACTAATTGTAAAAAGACCGTTGAAAGAAAGGTCTAACTACTAATTGTAAAAAGGCCGTTGAAAGAAAGGACTAACTACTAATTGTAAAAAGACCGTTGAAAGAAAGGACTAACTACTAATTGTAAAAAGACCGTTGAAAAAAAGGACTAACTACTAATTGTAAAAAGGCCGTTGTATGGCCGTTAGGAAGATGGACACCCCAAGATGTGATCTACGAATTGGAGATGGTAGTATCAAACAATAACATAAATTTAATTATCTGGGTAATGTTAAGACAAACGAAGGAAAAAGTAAAACTGAATTACGAAGATGTTTTGGAATAAAGTAAGATGTTGTTCATGATGACGGTCGTCTTCGAGTATAGAATCCAGAGGTTAGCAGTAAATATTTTGAGGTCAGTAGGGAAGCGTATTTCAGGTTAGCAGTGGATATCCCGGTAAAAGTAGCAGAGCGTAGTTCGTCCTTCTGTTTCTCTTCGCTTGACAAGCTGGAACTGGACATTCGGGTAGGGTAAACAAAATGGCCGCCTTTATACACGACGGATTGAATATTCTACGTCTTCTGATTGGTTAACCTTCTATTGGTGGACTATAAAGTGAGTCAAGTCATTTGGGCTAACTCACTAGTACATACATATACACAAAAAACTGCAACATAAGATGCCTGCGAAAAGCTAAAAAAAAGTACTGAAAATCTTAATTTCTTTAGAAAAGACTGCTAAACTCCTAAGTCATATAAATCTTCCTATAGAGCAGTAAATGCTACAAAATCTCTTCAGGGCTGAGGAGTAGACCTGAAGCAACAGAGATCTGAATTTACAGAAGGATACCGATTGATTGATTCGTTTTTTACGGTTTATCAACCCTTTAGAGGTTATTTAAAGCTAGAAAATATTTCTATATAATAATGATTTAGTGAAACAATTATTGTTAATTAACCCATAGCTGAGGGAGAACAGGTGGGTATTTGCGCGTAAGTGAGTATAACGAACTTAACTGACATCGAAATTAACAACGCTGAGTCATTATCCACTAGACCATCCGCACATCCAAGTTTACACCACCTGGTATTACCATGATGTCATTCATCTAGGCACTGACCAGTCTTGATGTTAGTTAACGTCGGTGATCGTACGGGAACCGGTGTTTCAACACTATACGGCCCTAAGACCATTAGTATACCAATAATACCATGAACTGAACACGTGCATAACGCTGAAATTTCCATGAAAATTGTAACAGAATGACACTTGTACTTAGAATTAGAAAGTGACAGTTTCTGGAACACATGATGAGGAAAGTGGGCTTGGAGAATTTGACACTCACGGGACATTGAAGGAAGTGGTTCAGAGGAAATAAAATGTAATATCCAAACAAATCAAATGGATAGAAAAAAAAAACAAATAGAATCATAGGCGCACTACAAATGGATCCTCATGTTAAAAAAAAGGACTAACTACTAATTGTAAAAAGACCTTTAAAAGAAAGGACTAACTACTAATTGTAAAAAGACCGTTGAAAGAAAGGACTAACTACTAATTGTAAAAAGACCGTTGAAAGAAAGGACTAACTACTAATTGGACCGTGGAAAAGGACTAACTACTAATTGTAAAAAGATAGGAAGTTGGGGAGAACCATGATCGTCATGTTATGAAGGGGCACAGCACATAGAAAAAGAATCGCAAGCTCGGTTCAGTTGAGATTCGATTTATGTTGGTCATAGGAATCCAATGCATCTCCCATTAAATACTGATTGGCTGAAAAGTAAGATTTTCTGTTCTAATTAAGAACATTTTTTTGTTTTTGTTTCTGTATTTCAAAATAGGTCTGAAGTCTCATTTATGGGAAATTCTGTTACAAAACTCTTCTCTCTCAAACTTTCAATTCTCTTGATTTTACCAGATTCGGTTGTGATTGCTGCAACTTTATCCTTACTGGCTTTCGTACAAAGAAGTCAAGTGCAATTATTGAAGCAAGTATGGGATTAAAAAAAAGAAAAAGAACTTTGATATTTCAAAATTACTTTTAATTCAAAACGGTTTCCTCAATGAAAAGATGCGGTGTGTCTTCAAAATTGCCTGCAACATAAGCTCTACTTTAAATGAGGAATAAAAATCATGTCAGGAACGGGCAATATCTTTTATAAAAAAAAAAACAGTAAATAAAAGCGGCCGTCAGAGCGAATAGGAATTCAATACACAGCTTTCTAATCCGATATTAAACGTCTTTTCTTATTATATATATATATATATATATATATATATATATATATATATATATATATATATATATATATTGAATGTTACTAGTAGAAGTAGCAGTCGTAGTAGTAGTATTAGTCGTAGTAGTAGTAATAATAATAGTAGTAATAGTAACATTATTATCAGCGGTATAAGGATGATCGTGAAAATTTTAAAAGCATTGATCAGCCTTATTCTTAACAATAACAAAAGTAAAGAAATATATTCTAGAAATGTATTGTTCCTTTTATCTTCTTCTTCTTCTTCTTCTTCTTCTTCTTCTTCTGTGTACCGTGTCCCTTCAGGACATGTACGATGATGGCTCTACAGATGCTCTCTATCCTTTGTAAGACTTAATTTTTTATTTCCTTTTTTGCTATCCCTACTTAACATTCTTTCGTTAAGTTATGCGCTCTTGCCTTCAATCTGTCCTGTGAGTGTTAAATTTTCCAAGCGTTCTTTCCTCATTATGTGCCCTAGAAATTCCAGTTGTCTCTTTCCGATGGTATTTAAGTTTCCTTTCTATTGTTTCCATTTTTTATTAAAACATTGTCGTTGCTAGTTAACAGAAAATGATCTAAAAAGAAAAAAAAAACAGGAAGCGTCTTCTGGATGCCGACGTGATCTACGGCTAAATAAAGAACGAACAAAATGGCGCCTTTCAAGTCACTTCTCTTCGTATGGAATGGAAAAACAGCGTGAAATGTTTCAGGTTCTGTAAACAAAGACAGAAGGTGTTATTATTGTAAAAAAAAAATATCAGAAACATTTACTTGTTGAAAACTGGTAGAAGGTTTTCTTCATGCAAAATAAAATCAACTGACCCATAGAACGTGTCCCGTTCTGAGTTGAGCGATCATGACTCTCCACAATCTCCTCTCATTTGTAGGTCTAAATAAAGTAATTTTTTTTTTCGCTATTTTTCTAAAACACTGTTCTGCCAACAACCTACACAATCTTCTCAGGTAGGTCACACGGTGCTTTTCTCTGTCGCTCGTGCCTTCAATATGTCCTGTGAGTGTCAGATTTTCTAAACCCTCTGATCTCAGGTTTGTGCCATAGATGTTTCAACGCTGACCTTTTCATTTTATTTATAAGCTTCCATTTTGTTTTAGTGTTGCTAAAACTTCGTCTTCGCTCATATATTCAGTCCATGATATTCTCAGTATACTTCTAAAGAACCACCTTTCTTCTGTCTGAAACTGCTGCTTTATTTGTGATAAGATTGTCCAGAATTCACTGCCATTTAGTAGGACTGATATTATCTAACAGATCATTAAACTTTTCTTTGTTTGAAACGAAGTTTTCCTGTTTGCTTAGATTTGGAAAGGCATCTTTCGTTATTCAAAATGCAACTTAAAACGAGTAAATAGAACTTAATTATTAAATCTATTTTCAATGTGTATGTAGTCAGTTTCAAATAATCCTTCTGTATCTTCTTCTCTCCATAATATATATATATATATATATATATATATATATATATATATATATATATATATATATATATATATATATAAAGTTAAACCTAGAGCCAGACAAACCTACCAAGGTTTCACCTAAAAGGATCGTCAGGGAAGGCCGGCCTCCTTGACGATCCGCTGAGGTGAAAACCTTGGTAGGTTTGTCTGGCTCTATAGGTTTAACTAGGTCTGCTCTACTCATTGTATTGAGCACTTTATTTAGTTGTTTTGGGTACACGTATCAGGGTTTTTTTTTTTCTTTGGGCTTTGAACTTGCATGCTAGACGATTATTTTCGGCTAACGTACATGTTCTTGGTTCTTTCTTTTTTTATACCTTTTTTCCCCCTTTGGTATTGGCTTGATTATTTGCAAATCAAGATGCCGAACGTTTTCCGAATGAGTACAGTTTCTTACACTTATAAGATTTCTATTCATAATTATATATATATATATATATATATATATATATAGATAGATAGATAGATAGATAGATAGATAGATAGATAGATGATAATGAACAAGTTAAGATAGATAGATAGATAGATAATGAACAAGTTAAGATAGATAGATAATAGATACATAGATAGATAAGATAGATAGATAGATAATGAACAAGTTAAGATAGATAGATAGATAATGAACAAGTTAAGATAGATAGATAGATAGATAGATAGATAGATAGATAGATAGATAGATAATGAACAAGTTAAGATAGATAGATAGATAGATAGATAGATAGATAGATAGATAGATAGATAGATAATGAACAAGTTAAGATAGATAATGAACAAGTTAAGATAGATAATGAACAAGTTAAGATAGATAGATAGATAGATAGATAGATAGATAGATAGATAGATAGATAGATAGATGCATATGTGTGTATATGTTTGTTTGTCTGCAAGTGTATCTGAAGGAGAATTAATTCTATTTCATGTCTCTAGGTCGTCTTTCTCTTAAGAAAATTAACCAATCTCTTTCCTGTCTCTCTTTGCTACTCGTATAAGTTTGTTTTCTAAAAGATCGGAATATACTCAAACAAACTCAGCTGCTAGGAAGGTTAGTTCCCTGTGTCGTGGTAAGACTATTTTTCTCTCCGCAGTCTACCTTTCATATCTATAAATCTGCCATTCGTCCTTGCTTAGAATATTGCTGCCCCATATGGTCCGGCCTCCTGGTATTTATCTAGAAATCCTTGATAAAATCCAAAGAATCTAAAATATTATTGGCCTCGATCTGGCATCCCGGCTTTAGTCAGTTTCGCACCAACGTAAAAAGTTGCCTTCATTTGCTTTTTCTATAAATATTTTCATGACTGATTCGAACCTCCAGAAGAGTGACTCATTGCACTTTCTCGAACAGACTCTTTGTATATATATATATATATATATATATATATATATATATATATATATATATATATATATATTTTTTTTTTTTTTCAGTGCGCAGGTCAATAAACGTAATACATATCGTTTAACATAAAAAACATGGTGTATATATCAAACACGGGTATCCACTAAAAATAACTTTTGAATTATTTATATATATATATGTGTATATGTGTGTGTATGTGCATTTGTGTGTGTGTACATTTATTAGCGGAGGACTCAATTTCGAAGACAGAGCGCTTATAGAAATAAGTAATTTAGGGGTCATGACCAAAAATTTCCCCTAGCTATTTACATATGCGCATGCTCCAATCACTCAGCCAGTATAAATAAGCAACCGAATGTAGAATTCCAATTTCGGTCCCTTTTGTGAGGGAGTCAAATCAAATTAAATAAAAACCTTAATCGCAGTACCTTGTCAGTTGTCTTTAGCGAAACATGCATAAAAGAGCGATTGCTACAAAAATACGCTGTCTATCTATCTATCTATCTATCTATCTAAAGACGATTGACAAGGTACTGCGATTAAGGTTTTTATTTAATTTTTCTTGTGTTCATAAAGAGTTTTCTATTCTGGACACAAAGTATGTAAAACTGTCCAAACATTCTGAATATCTGAACACTTTCGGCTATTCTTTTAAACATTGTAGAGGGTGATTTTTATTTTTATTTGTTATTTTTAACTGAATGTGTGGTAGTTTTATATAGTTATAAGAATGTTTCATTTTAAATCTGACCTACTCACAAAGAAGACCGAAATTGAAATTCTACACCAGTCACTATCCCAACTTGGAGCCGGTGGGAGTAATAACAGTTCATTCAAAACAGAGAGACCGCCTTAAGGCAAAGGGCTTAAAACACTGCTTTCCGCGCAGCAACGATAATAGTATCCTAACAATAAAACTCAAAACCGCTGCAAAAGACAATTCTAATATTTTCTGTTCCTTGTTCTTGTAATTTCCTTCACTCTAAAATCTCGTACATCTTATAAAAGAAAAGAATATTTCCCCCTCTTATTTCTCTGGTTTTTACCATGTCTTATAGTCCCTAGCGATCTATACACAAATTAATATATATACATATATATATATATATATATATATATATATATATATATATATATATATATATAAGTGAACATTGAAGGCAACACTCAGAGGCGACAGGCTGTTTTCATGCTAGACGGAATCGTCAGGCCGCCTGACGATCGCGTCTAGCATGAAACAGCCTGTCGCTTCTAAGTGTTGACCTCAATGTTCACTTTTATATTTATATTTACATACGCTCTATCTCTGATATTGAGTACTTTATCCCATAAATATAGCACACCTTAAAACTATATTTCTTCACACACACACACACAAACATATATATATATATATATATATATGTGTGTGTGTGTGTGTGTGTGTGTGTGTGTGTGTGTGTGTGTGTGTGTGTGTGTGTGTTGTTGAGAATGAAGTGTCACATACGACACAAACATAAAAAAAATCTAAATGACGCTGGAGAGGCCATCACACAAAAACACACACACACACATATATATATATATATATATATATATATATATATATATATATATATATATATATATATATATATATATATAAAAACGAAGGATTTTCCAAGTGTACTTCTCATAATATGTAGATTTAATCGGCCGCTTAATGAAATTTGAGGAATAAAAAGACAAAATGATAACAATAGGGGCAATAAGGTTGATGATATTTATTAAGAGAAACATTTTAAAATCGGAATTATTGCAAAATAAAATCTTACAATAAGGGATTAAACAGGAATTTGGATTTACTCAGAGAAGGCCTCTAACCATCAACAACAACAATCTCCGGAAGAGTATATCCAACTTTTTTTGTTATTCCTCGTCTTTTTGAAAAAGGACACAGGGGTGTCCGAAAATTCCGACATTAAAATCTTTCTCTTCGTGCTTGAATTTTGTCAAAACGCTAATATATAATAAATATCATCAATCTTATTGCCAATATCGTTATCATTTAGTTGTACTTTTATTCCATAAATTTCATTAACCGGCCTATTAAATCTACACATATACAAGGATGATGGGTATATTGTCGCAATTTTATATTTTTAATTACGCATAGGGGCGTTGTTGTTTTTTCCGACTGCTCAGTATAGTAGGGTCATTTGGGTACCCTCTGCGAAAATATATATATGCCTGTATATCTTGAAATACTAAAGAGTGAATTTATTCATTAAAATCACAATTGGCTTCAATCACGGCCTCCAGAAGACTTCATAATCTCCTACAACGCTTCTGAACGGTCTCCTTGTTTAAGTTGGTGAATGCTGCCATAATTCATGCCTTCAGTTCATCTTTGGTGTTATAATGTGTTTTGTTGGCCTCTCGCTCAACTTCACCTCAACAGATAATAATCAAGTCGTTGCAGTCAGGGAAGTTAGTTAGCCAGATGTAACGAGTGATGTGGTCGCATAAATTGTCTGACAGCCATGACTGCGTTCTCCTACTTGTGTGGCATGGTGCAGTGTCCTGTTGCCAGATATAGGGTCTTCCTGCACCCACCCTCTTCATCCAGGGCAGCACTACCTCCTCAAGGCACTTGATGTAGGCATATAGGTTGAGACGAAGTCACTCACCAAAAAATTCGGGAGTTCTTTTCTTATCAGAACGATCAGAGTGAGTTTTCTGAGCTGTCATACCTTCGCAATCACTATTAAACTCATCTAACTCATTCCGAATCCTCTGCGCTGTCTTCACATTGACACCCAAACACTCTGAAATGTTTGTATTGGAGTTTCCGGCGGAACTCCAAGCAGTACACCATGCCGTTTCCAAATTTCTGGCGGAGTGAATTGCGTCATGTTGCTTTTTTCTCACAGTCGGTGGCCAACTGACCCTGTTAGGCTGTGTAGTCAACAAAATCAAAAAATAACAACGTGAATGCACGAAATGAAAAAATATAAAATGACAACAATTCACCCATCGCATCCTATATATATATATATATATATATATATATATATATATATATATATATATATATATAAAAATTGACCTCATAATCTCTAATAACCCTACAACCACACAACTAAATCCTCTACAAAAAACCAGTGTAGTGTATCAATTTACATGCCCATTCAAAGATTGTATCTCTGATGTTAATAATAAACCCGCTACATATATTGGTTTTACTACAACCACGCTCTCCCGTCGACTTACCTGTCATCTTTCTGATCTTAATTCTATTAAACACTTCTTAGAAAAACATAGCCATATACACAATATTAGACAGATATTAGCTGATAACACAATAGTACTCACACGTACACGCAGTCAAAAGAACATTCAGATATTGGAGGCTACCTACATTAAAATGAAGCAACACACACTCAACAAAATTACATTTCAAACTAGTCACAACATATTCTATTTCATCTAGACATTGGTTCTGTTGTAATACTTCGGTCTATCGCGTGGGTCTGACGTTACAGAACCGCATCTTGAACTTACGATCTGCGTCTACTATAGTACGACCATTATCGTCGCATAGCAATCTTCTGTCAAAATAGCAAAATATCATCTTTAACGGTGGATATCTTTGTTTCATGTGTGTATAACCACTCTGAAGATGGCTCATGTGAGCCGAAAGCTTAGGACAAACTTAATAAAAAATATCCAAATGTTGGACAATTTTTGTCTTTATTTTCACCAGAAATTAAAGCAAATATTCGAACATTACAACGGCTCATGATCAGACACAAGAGACATTGTTATATTTTTAGTAATATATGTTTAAATACATACACTTATATATATATATATATATATATATATATATATATATATATATATATATATATATAAAAAAAAACAAAGAGAGAGAGATATGGTATTAATGGGGCACACCGTCGTAGCGAGATTAAGTTTAAGACTATTTTAAGTGTAATGAGTTTAATCCTTAAAATAGATTATTTCTATTGCACCTTCTTCCAAAATAAGTTAAGCTTAGTAAATATTTTACAGTACAAAATACCGTAACTTTGTACAAAAGTGTAGTGTTCTAAAATCCTGACGAGAAAAATCCATACTAGCCACGGTTTTGTAAATGCTGTGCGTCTTGCCGTAGATTAATAATTAGTTGACTGCCCGCGCATATATTTGCTACTGTATCATAATTAATCCAGATTGTTTACTTTAATGTTGTTATCTTAGATCGTGTAACCTAAGCTTAATTGATGCCATAGCATATCAGAATATCCGGAAAATAATTACGATTTTCAGCGCTATGAATTATGAGTCACGCAACCAAGACAGAACGAAGGTTGAATGTTAAAAAGCTACATCTAGTATTAATTTATCACCTCTTCTATCCGACAGTGTGTCGTTTATATTGCATTTCAGAGTTTATTTGGGAAAAAACTTAAAAAAAGGGAATTTGTGTTTCTCGTGAGCTTTGTCTTCGTGAGAACTCAATACAACGCTCTACCATTGTGAATTCTTTTAACCAGGAACGCCAGCTTTTCAGTTTTGCATCGCATTCCTATTGATGAGAAATGGGTTTCGCGCGTCAACAGAAAATGAAAAAGAATAGTGGTTATATCAAAATAAGAATCTAGAGCTAACAACAAAACCAGGAATCCATCCACGGAAGTCCTGGTGAAATATTCAAATATGACTTTCATTACGATCTATGTGAACATAGAAGAATCATCACTGTAAACCGTTGATCGACTGAACGAAACATTACGTCAATGCCGCCATGCTTTAGTAAAGAGAAAATGTGTTATTCTCCACCATAAAAATACAAATGCACACTCTAAAAATGAAACCTAAGAAAAAAAATTCTTACTTATTGTTCCACATCCTAAATTTATATTTGTTGAGGGGTCCACCCCTTTTTATACAAATGAACTCACCCAGTATATACATATACTACTGCAAGAGCGAGACGAGAGTAAGAGACGAGAGCAAGACCGAAGAGTCGAGTCCAGAGTAAAAGGTTGTAGGTAAACGGAAGAGTGAGGGTGAGGTAACAGCGTTGTGGGAGTCACAGTAAGCGAGCACGTAGACTCAGTAAGAAGTCATACAGTGATACTTCAATACCAAAAGACTGTATATATATTTACCTACTAACACGTATTCCTGGAACTACTAACCTGCTTTACCAGTTTGTATTATTACGTTAATATATTATTTTCATATATTCATTCCTGGCGTTTGTTATTAATTTGGTACCGGATTTCATTCCGGAATCCACAACAATATTGTAGATTAGGATGCCTAAATTACTGAATATAGGTGTTAATTTTAGTTCACCTAAATTTACTGTTAGACATTTTCATGACGGTCGTCCTCGAGTATAGAATCCAGAGGTTGGCAGTGAATATTTCGGAGACAGTAGGAAAGCGTAGTGCAGGTTCGCAGTGGATATCACAGCAAGGTAGGAGAGCGTAGTTCTTCCGTCTGTCCGGCGAACAGGACAGACGGAAGAACTACGCAATCAGGAGCCGCAGAACACGGGATCCGTCGTGTATAAAGGCGTCCATCTTTGTTTTCTCACCGGAAGGACTAGAGGAAACAAAGATGGCCGCCTTTATACACGACGGATCCAGTGTTCTGCGGCTCCTGATTGGTCAACCTTCTATTGGTCGACTATAAAGGGAAATAAGTCATTCTGACTCGCTCACTAGTTATATACGTTGTATACCCAAAAAACCGTAACATTTACTATATGTTAAATTTACTAATTCCACATCCTAAATTTATATTGTAGATTAGGATGCCTAAATTACTGAATACCGGTGTTAATTTTAGTTCTCCCGATGCAAAGCTCAAAAACAAGGTAAAGGATTACTGTTCGAGATTGTTTTAAGGTTGTATGATTAATTCGTGTTTACACCTTATAAATCATTTAGTTATACAGTTATACAAGTCCTACTAATTAACCCATAGCTGAGGGAGAAGATGTAGATTCATAGCTTTCGCAAGAGTATTTGCACGTAAGTGAATATAACGAACCCAATTGAAATTGGAACTCGCCTCTCCTATTAACAATTCAGAACCATTATCCATTACACCACTCGCACATCCTAGCTTAGAGCACGTGGTATTCCCAAGTGATCACTCATTTAGATATTGGCCAGGCTCGACGTTGCTTAATTTCAGTGATCGTATATGAACTGGTGTTGCAATGTGAGCGTAGAGATAGAAGTAGGGAGTAAGAAGTCCACATTATGGGGTCGTGTAGTACAGATATCGATTGACCCTGGGCTCGACGAGACCAATATTTTCACTTAGACATTATCTTACATTTCACAGAGTAATAGTTCTGGGGAAGAAGTTAGATGGGTGGAATTTACTCCTAATCAAGGGAATACTAGGGAAATCAGGATGATTTGCCACCGTGGCATAATGGTTAGCAAATTGAGATTGTAGATCGTTAGAAAATAGTTCAATCCTAACTGGGTGTCCTTTTACATAGTAAGAACCTATAATATCTGAACATATATGACTATTTGTATAAAAGTCGTGTACCAATGAGTTTCTGATGGAACTATGTAGAGTAAAAATAAACATTATTTTATCTATAAAATGAATGTAATTTTACCGGGTATCTGAAAGCGATTTGATCTAAATAAAGACAACACCGGAGTTTTGAAATTGGCAAATCGAATCAGTCAAGCGGGAGGACAGACGGAACCGAAATCGCTTCAATGACTTGCACATTCATAGATCTGAATGTCTGGCGAGTAATGGAACTGTTATATTGAATGAAGTTGCCATATCAGGTTCGGGTTTTAAAAAAAAAGGGGGGGGCAATAAACATAACGAAATATTTGAGAAACATTAAGATCAGAATCTTTGTTTTGTTGTTCTGTATATATATATATATATATATATATATATAGTCAAACCTAGAGAGCCAGACAAACCTACCAAAGTTTCACCTAAGCGGATTTGACTAGGTCTGCTCTACTTTTGTATTGAGCACTTTTTTAGTTAGTTCATTACTCGTATCGTTTTTTTTTCTTTGGGCTTTGGACCTGTATGCTGTACGATTATTTTCGACAGACGTTCATGTTCTTAGCTCTTTCTTTTTTAAAAAACCTTTTTTCCTTCGAAATTGATTTGATCATCAGCAAATCAAGAAAAGGAAAGATTTTCCAAGACGAGTGTAGTTACCTATATATATATATATATATATATATATATATATATATATATATATATGTATGTATAAAATAAAAAGAAAAACAGTAAGATATATAATCCGGTGTTCTTATAGATATTTTTATTTTTACAAAATAGTGCTCAATGTAAATTTACAGAGCATTTATATTATAAATTAACTGATTAAGCTTTTAGCTTCCATTTCTGAAACATGGTTAGAACTGTGTAGCGAAAAACCCATATTTTAAATCAGTTAATATATATATATATATACCATACCTATAAACACTAATAGGTATGTCCCAATCCTCATTAATACGTTGGACATTATTGTAAGTGGGGTTAATATGCTCTCTAAGTAGTCCACCACAAGCAGTGGTTTACCTACTTCACGCCGCTGGCGAGTATTGTATTTTCTTGATGTATAACGATTACCATTTCATCATTTAGTAACCATTTCTAGGTTACAACAAATATATATATATATATATATATATATATATATATATATATATATATATATATATATCATTATTATTATTAATAATTTACTAATAATAATATAACAGAATAAATAAAATAAAATATTTTGATTTACTTAATATAATACTTGACCAAAAATAACAAAATATGAACTTTGGACAGTTTATCCACAGTACTGAACAACCTTTCCGAAAATTGGAAAAATGCAATAAAAGATTAAACATACAGAAATTGTCGGTTCTTTTTAATAGATAGATAGATAGATAGATAGATAGATAGATAGATAGATAGATAGATAGATAGATACTGTGAAAGTGAAAAATGAGAGCTTTTTCTTAATATGTAATCGATTACAAATATCGACGTCTTCTTGAGTCTCGTTTAAACGATGGATCATCGGAAACTGCAACATATGCAAGCCGTCCCCAATTTGTGCTGTTGTTTACATCGTCTCTTATTGAATATTGAATCCATTTTCCTTTTTCATCTTTCTACTGCTTCAAGGCATGTGATGCTTTTGTCGTTTTATGTTTTTTAATAATGTTAGCTATATTTATCACTCATGTTCCTAGAAAAGAGAATTCAAATATTCTGGGATAGAAAATTATTTTTTTCCTCTGTCAGTGTTCTTATCTATGCCGACATTTTTTCGATATATCCCTGCATATTCCGTACATTTATCTATCTATCTATATTACTCTAATAACTATAACTCAAACAACACATACATTGCTTAAACGACCACTACATTATCGCGTCGATTAACGTAATATTACTCCGACAATGGTTGAATCTCACATCACAATCTAAAACACGAAGAAAACGCAAGAAATACAACGAATTCTGGCCAAAAAATAACACAAAACTATATCACATGAACTGTAAAAATACGATAAATGCTATAAACATAAGGCATAATAAAAGACAGTCAAAAATGAATAAAATGCTAACAATTTTACGAACAAACAAGCTAAATATATTTTATAAATAAAAAAGATATGATAATATCAAGAGACAATATAATATGAACACGAGAAGCCGTGATATTTGAATACGAAGAAAACAACATAGTACAGAAACAAAAATTATTTTGATAATATGTTATGAAAGCCGAAAGTAACCTGACATTGAGCACTGTTAAATTTGTACCAGAAATCAGAATATGGTCCAGAATATGTGAAATGATGCGTAAGAAAAATCCTTAACAAAGAACATTCATTGTTCATTAACCCTATATACATTAGCAGTGGAGTGAGAAGGAGGTAATCGTAGCACGTAATGTGATTTGCAGGTCGGAAACACTAGAATCAAGCAGATCCCTAGATGTATTGGGATGGCCAAGGACACATTCCAAAAGCTGGGCAGAGTATTGCAAGACAGGAGGATTTCTTTGGTAACAAAGAAAAGAATACTGAGCTGTTACGTGACATCTGTCCTTCTTTACGCCAGCGAATGTTGGACGATTTTCTCAAAGGTTTTCCAATCCCTCTTTCCTCATTATATGCCCTAGAAATTTCAACTGTCTCTTCCTGATGCTAAGTATAAGTTTCCTTTTTTTTTTTTCATTATTTGTTTTTGTTATATAAGAATAAAGTGTCGCTGCCGACACTTGCGTTTGAACATAGATCGCCAGTGAGCAAACACAGGCGATCCAATTATTGTAGACCACGTGACCATAGACGAAACGCATATATGGGAAGTCATGTGACGTCTAAACTATCGTTATTTCTCTATTACTATACTGACTTTATTCTCTCCTCTATGCACTATACTATTTTTCTATTCAGATCACTATTCTGTGGTTACTTCCAGAGCGAGTGCTATAGAGTATTATTACTGCAAGTATTATTCGAAGGCGTCTGACAACCGTATTGTTCAACGGCGTTGCTATAGTTTTATCTGCAACTACATAGTCTCTATTACAATGAGCATTACGGAAGTGACAACGAGTATTCTTTGGCATTACAAAAGTAGCAACGAGTTTTCGTTGACATCACAAAATTTTTGTATTTTATTTATGCTATTGAGGATCGTCTTGGTTAACAAGGTTGATTTTACTGTTTTTAAACTACAATTTTCAATGATTTCCCTCGTACATTCATAACTGCTCGAAGCGTATCCAAACGTAAACAAATGGCGTAAATGTTGTTAATACTGTTTATTATAAACAGAGTATTTACTTAAATATTTGTATCTATAAAAATAACGTATAAACAGAAAATGTCTTGAAAAAAATTGTCGGATTTTGTCCAATTCGTAATATGGGACGTCATTTGTTTACGTTTGGAATCGCTTCGAGCAGATATAAATGTACGAGAGAAATCATGAAAAAAATGTAGTTTAAAAACAGTAAAATCGACCTTGCTAACCAAGGCGCTCCTCTGTAACACAATTGGTATAGCACGTCAGGCTATTTATAGGCGTTTCCATTTTGGAGAAAATGGAAACATCTACAGCGGAACAAATAAAAAATATAATAAGACAAAGCAAATTCGAATTATTGAGGATTATGTGATTTGCATAATAACTTCTGACGGACTGTACCTGTTAAAAATAACGAAGTCATATATATTTCTCGACATATCTGTGCGTGTGTAAAACTACTTGTCGTGATAGAATACCCACAGATTAAGCAAAGAATTGAAATCTCACTGGGGCGTTAATTTTGTGAAATTTAACCAGACAACGCTAAATGTATTTAATATAAATTACGTATCTGCATTTGTGTACATATATAAACATACACAGACAAATGTATGAGTAAAAATAGTAACTAACGACTACACGTGCACATATATGTATACAGATGCAAATATGTGTGTATTTATAGTGATATAGATATGAAAACAGAAAAATTCCCGTACATTGCAGTGAACCTTTTGATGTTTAAGAACAAATTGGTTGCTATTTCCGAGAAACGAAGCCCCAGGAGAGAACCAATCACAATTCACTTCGTAGGTCGACAGCTGAAACACGTATACGCGCAAAACCACACGCACACACACAAGCATATACACACGTGCATTAAAATAGCTATTATTATTATTATTATTATTATTATTATTATTAAAACCCCAGCGTATAGATAGATAAAAACACGTACTTGTGTTTCTCTATTAATAAATGTGTATTTGGGCGAAAAAATATGTCCATTTGTTCAGCTGTCGAGAGCTAAAAACATAAAAATATCCAAATGGACATAGTTATTTTTAAGTACTAAACACTTATGCGTAGATATCGAGACAGACTGAGATAGATAGATAGATAGATAGATAGATAGATAGATAGATAGATAGATAGATAGATAGATAAGTAGGTAAGTAGGAATGCATGCAAAAAGTTCTCAGTTAGACCCACAACGGTAAATCTAAACAAACTGAAAATCTTCAGCACCAATTCGTATATATATATATATATATATATATATATATATATATATATATATATATATATATAATTTTAAAAGTGCACACGACCCTTATGGACACATATATATATAAATATATATATATGTGAAAATATATAGAAAATAGGAAGGAACTGGTTAGGTAAATAATCCAAAGTCCCTTAGTATTTTAGTTATTATAGTGCTCGATACAAAAGTAGAGCATAAATATAATTATTTATTTAAAAATATGATTCCAAATCGCTACATAAGAGGTCTCATGTTTCAAAACTAGAGCCGAAAACTTCAATATAATCCTTTAAATTAAATTGAGTTGAAAGTAAAATGGGCTCCGTTCCATCCTCAAGCGAAATTTTTGTTGGAATAACGTATATCTGAAATTTACTTGTTTTAAAATTGAAATCAAAATCCCCATGGTAACAGCTATGGTGAATTGTCTAAATTGGGTAGGCGAGTGTAGGGTGTTTATATTAAGTAGCGGTATAGAGATACTTTCAAGGTGTCAAGTCGGGGAAAGGTGGGGGTGTCAAAAATGAAACGGAAGATGTATTGGCCATCGTCTAGTTTGCTTGTCTATGGAGATTTATTTATTTATTTTTTTTTTTATTTTATTATGAAAGGGGAATTGTGCATATAAAAAAAAAAAAAAAACTCGTAACGTTTGTTTTTTGACGACTTCATAAAGGGTTATCTTATATGTAAGGTATTTAAACTACTAATTTAGGCTATGGATTATGAAGTGTGCTATGTAGTATGCATGTTTGTAGTTAATTATTCCTACTATGAATCTGATGATTGGGCTATTTGTTAAACAAGCTATATAAATTTTTTTTATCTAATAATTCAAACCAAAAATCTGATGATGCCTACAAAAAACCGTTAACTCGTGTCTATTATTTAATAGATTATTATTATTTAGAAGTTTAATGATGTGCAATTTTTCATGGAGGCACAAAGGGCATGGGTCATCCCAAGCTTTACATATTCTAGCCTTGTCATATATATATATATATATATATATATATATATATATATTTTAAACATGAGAACTCTTATGTAGCGATGGAATCGTATTTTTAAAAAATAGTTATAATCCAGACTCTACTTATGTATTGAGCACTGTTTTTTTAAAGATAAAAACAAAAATACCAAAGACCATTGGATTATTAGCCTAACGGTTCTTTCCTATTTTTCTGTATATTTGCACACACACACACACACACACATACACACACACACACACATATATATATATATATATATATATATATATATATATATATATATATATATATATATATATATATATATATATATATTTACTTGAATTTTCTCAACTGCTGAGCTCCGGAATAATCATTTAAAAAATGTTAATTGTTGAATTGTTGTTTCTTTTTTCATAATAAATATTGTTAAAAAAAATGATGGCGCCTGATAATTATTTTCGTTTCAACCTCAAAATATATTCATATATATATATATATATATATATATATATATAACGAAGTCGTGAATATATTGTTACTGGAATCCAAAAGAACACCCAAGAATGGGAGTTTATTTAAAATATCGTCTAACTAGCGGACGTATATTTTCGGTTATAATAACTTTTAAAAAAAAAACTTGTTTTCTACGTGAGACATGTAAGTTAGAGAAGCACGAACCGAGAGGATTTCCCATACTTACCCCATTAGTTTGAGTGAAAATTCTGCCGTTAGGTTGTCATCTCAGTCCCACCCTTTCACAGGCGAAACGCTTAAATGTAGCCGTCTCTTCTACTCCAATAGCTTCATGTCTCGCACTTCCCGTCTGTGGAACTCCCTTGCTTCTTACTTGCTTCCCTGAGAGCTCTAATCTCCATCTTTTCAATTGCAATGTCAATCGACATCTCCACATGCCTTGACCTATTCCCCGTCCAACTCTCCATCCTTTCCTCAATCACGCCTCTCTACACTTACTCCCACTCTCTGTAACCCCTTGCGTGCTAGTGGCACTCCCGCCTTGTTTGGGATGAAAAGCTTTAAAAAAAAAATTGTCATAGGAGAGGAATTTTGTAGTGGATGTATGCAATAATTTTTTTAGATATTTTTAATTGTTTGATAGATGGAGTTGGAATTGAATTATTGCTATATACGGTGTTAAAGATTATATTACTGGTTTCGTTAACAGGGATATTTGTAAATAAATTTTCTACTTTGGGTGATGCTAGAATTCCTAGGTTTGGTTTTGTAGTTTTAAGAATTTGGAAAAACTCATGGGTTCATTTGCTACTATACTTGATAGGTAGATATGGGGTAATAAAATCATTGTCAAATTTTGACAATTGGTATATAGGTGTTTCTATCAGTGAAATGATAGTTTGTAATAGCTATCCGGGTTTGTGTATTTTAACATTTCCGTATAAGTATCCTGATTAGTAATCTCCAATAATTTTATTGATTTTCAAGGATCCTCTATCAGCATTGTTAGCTGTTATGAATTTCTTAGATTTTTTTATAATGTCAGTTGTGTTTTTATTTAATTTTTGGAAATTTAGATCGATGAAGTGATGTAATTTTCTGTATAATCCAATTTGTCCAAAATTATGTAAGTATTGGATTTATCAGTTGTTGTGATGACGATATTAGGATTGTTTTTTAGTTCATTTCCGACGGTTATGAGTTTTGTTGTTGGAATGTTATCATAGCTATTTCGAGGAGTATGATCTTTTAAACTTTCTGCCTTGAGAAGATCACTGAGGTTTGGAAGCCATTTTACCAATCTGTCATTTTCTAATTGGGATAATGTTGTAGAGTAGTTTCACAGTGGAGGCTTGTGTTTCACTAAGTCGGTCCTAAAAAGGTTCGATGTACAAAATGTTAGGAACTTGTTATAATAGTTAATTACGCAGCAATCTAATTGTGGTGGCTGATACTTTAATGTCCGACATCGACTGACTCACCAACTCACTGAGAGACTTCGCGATTGCTACGACTACTACTTATTATATGTGGGAGAGTCTATTAACAATAGAATAGGTATGTTCCAGTATAACAGATAATGACTGGTGTAAGATTTCGGCTTGAGACTTCTTTGTGAGGAGGTTAAATTAAGGTTGGAGATGGTAATTTGGTCCTAGATTTAGGAATCTGTTAGTTTATTTACTGGATAGGTTTATATATTTATCTCTGTTGTTGCGAAGTAAAACATTTCCTTGGTATAAGTTGCAAAGAATTTTTGTATTTATTTGTCTGTGATTAAGTTTGTCATTATTAATAATAAGGTTGATACGGTATTATCATTCATTATATTCGAGTTCAGTCAAAATGTTTTTAAGTATCGCATTTTTGTTTTTGGATTTCATTATTTAAATGGTGGATTTCATTTTAAGCTGTTGTTATTTGCCGTAAAACAGTTTGTTTTGTTTTTTTATGATATAGTGTTACTTTCCATAATGTCTACCGGTTCATGCAATTTAAAAAATTGTGTATTTAGGCAGTAACCACTTTACGCAAGTTTAGTTGACAACGACTGACAAGGTGATGAGGTTGAGTTTTTTTTATATAATTTCTCATGTGTTTGTATATTTTTTCCTTTCAGGACATAAATTATATAGAAATTATCCGAATGTTTCCAAGCGCTTTCGGCTATACTTTTAGCCATTATCAAGGATGAATTTTATTTGACTTCTAACTGAATATATGGATTGTTTTATATATATATATATATATATATATATATATATATATATATATATATAGAGAGAGAGAGAGAGAGAGAGAGAGAGAAAGTTATTAGAATGTTTTATTTTCCTAATATGGTCAGCACATTTTGGTCGTGTTCATAGTTGATATTATTGAGTGTTGGCTTTTTTTTCTTTTTTATTGATAATGCTTTTCATATTTTTAGCCTTTTCTCTACATGTGCATGAGTCTATTATATAAGTATTATCAACGGTTTCCATATGTATTAAAATGAGACCTAATTGAGCTATAGTCTGAGAGATGCAACGTGAGTCTTGTTGTTAAATATGTTGTAGATTATCCAATAGATAGATAGATAGATATGGCTATCGCTTTCTCTGTCTGTCTCTCTGTCCGCCTCTCTCTCTCTCTCTCTCTATATATATATATATATATATATATATATATATATATATATATATATATATTGGATTTAGTTGGTGAATGTTACGACATATCAACTCTCGTTAGGTTATTCATTCTAGGTATATACTTTTTAATAAACTTCAATCCGTAAGTAAATATTCGTCGGCTTCATACTTGAATCCACAAGTATCCAATCAGAAAGAGGTTCATTTAGAGAAGACTTGTTCTTTGCAAATATATATATATATATATATATATATATATATATATATATATATATATATATATATATATATATATATTCATTCTTTGGCAAAAAGGGATAGGGCAATTTAAGATATAAATTATCCGAAACACTGACCTTCCTCCAACTAGGTTTTCTACCAAGATGCTTTCCTCAGGCAGTAATTTAGAGTCTTTCGTCTAAAAAAAATTATTTATAATTGGACATGCCCCGGTAGTGGAGAGAGAACGCGGTAATCGTAGCAATTTATTCATATACGAGTATGAATACATATGTAATTGTGAGCTTTTTTCAAATGAGTATATAAGTTTACATTCATAACCTGCATATTTACTTCGCCTAATTTTCTACCATACTTCTCGTCATGCGCAAATTTATTTATTTATTAAAAATATAGCGTTCATATTTTTTATGCTTTTTTAAAAAAAAATAAAACGTCAGTTGACTGAAACCAAGGTAGCGGAATCTTCTGATCTCCTAATTCTAATCTCAAATCACCGTCCTGATAACAATTATGGCGCCAGTTTGTTTACTTTGCGCAGTACGAAAATTTCAGTGATTGCGCAGGTCAGTGTTACCAACATTGTGTGAATT